TAGACTACATGTATAGTGGAGGTGGAGTTAAACCTTGGGAGGGTCAGGGCAGGATGGTGTAATGTAATGCTAGTATTCAACTTCATTGATTTTGTTATTTAGTTTCAAATTTCAGTCATACTGGAAGATAAACTGTAATATAAACTTGGCCAACGCTATCCAAATTGGCATATACAAGAATCCATAGGCATAGAGGAGTGTTGCAAATTAAGTTGAAATTTGTACCTAACTGCATTTCATAACAAAAGGGGGGACATTACATTCTAGTTAAATTAAACTGATTGCTCCCCCAAAATTTTTTTTTTTTTTTTGGACCCGTTGAGCAATGTAAATTTGTTGAATTGCTTGTTCAAACCATAGAGGCTTTGTCTGTTAAACATTGTAATGCAGTTCTGTTGTAAAGCTAGTAATGGTGATGATGATTTTGCAGCTGCTGGTAGCTGGGGGTGGCATGTATGTGGAGGTGTTCAACAGAGGAGTCATCCCTTTAGCCTATAGTCAAGAAGAAAAATAAAGATGGGGACTGTAACACTTACTTGGATGGCATTTACCTCCTCTTCACCTACTTCACAAAACCCGAGTCAATGGCAGTACTTGAGGAAACACTAAAAACAGATGATGATGTTATCCGGTCATCCAGCTTCAAGGTTAGGAAGAGGAAGTATTAGTTTAACCTCCCCTGTTCCCGTAAGGATGATGTGTAGCAAAGTAAGAGTTCTTTTTACTTTCTCATTTCATATGTTATGTATACTTTTTCATCCTTAAAAATACTCTGTAAAATACCTTGATCATCAATTGCAATAGAAGGTAAAGGCTGTTGCTAGAACTTCTTTACATTGAAGTTTCAACTGTCTTGATTATTTTTGGGATATTCTGCCATCTCACACCATCAAAGGGGCATAGCTAGCATCTTCGTAGTTTCACATTTGTCCTTTGTTTGTCGAAGATAAGCTTGATTTCCATGGTTATAATAAGTTTTTTCATGCTGTAACATTAGTTGATACTAGTATTTACCAATATTAGCTTGACTTGGTGTTGGTGCCTGCTAATTTCGAAATTTTGATTCTAGGGTCAAAGTTAGGGTTCAAACTTCTACATAACTAAGCACACTAACTTATTTTGCCAATGAGAAGAATTGGTTGAGAGTAGTGATGGATACCATTGAAGTCCTTGGTTTTCCGCCTTAAACAAAACAGAAGAGTACGGTGTTTAGGACAATTAATAGTCAAACCAAAGTCCCTAATTTGTGTCTTTACTTCAGAATAAGTGAAGCTGCTATGTAAAGAAGAAACCCTCCCAGAAAGATGGCAGTGATAGTTACTTCCATTGTGGTTTTTTTTTTTTTTTTTTAATTAGATATTTTTATTATGATGGTTATTGTTACTTGTTAGTTCTAGCGTATGAAGAGACATTTGAAAAAAAAAAATTGTTTCCTTTAATTTCATCGTCAACTTTAATATTGGACGAAATTATTTCTTGAATTTCATTATCACTTGTTAGGCCGGCCAACGTCATATTTCAGTATGAACCATTGATGATGATAAAAGAAAAAAAAGGGGGTCATATTTCAGACTGAACCATTAACAAAAGATATGGCTTAGGGTTTAAAACTGACCCGTTCCCTCTTTTCCTCTCTTTTTTTTTTTTCGTGGAAAGAGGGATTCAAAGTAAATTACCCATCGGACATCGCTCCAAGGAATGGTCTTTAGACTCTCTACACAATCCGTTAGAGAACCAACCCAGCTTTGATGTATGCAGAGATGAGCATTTCTAATCTAACCGGCACCATGTATTTATATTTTACAAGCATAATAATCCAACCCAACCCCAGATCCTCTAATTTTCAAATCTTCTGCTGCTAGTGTTTCTGAAGAATCTGACCCTAAAATTAATCTGGTGTTTCAAGCCTACCTACCTTCCCAAGTCTCCTTTGGCATTGGTAGCTAGCTCCTAAAACCAAGCTATCCATTACCAACTCTCCTACACACCCCAAAATTAAAACAAAAGCAAAAACGCCTATTCATTTACCACCCCCCCCCCCCCAAAAAAAAACTTATCCCGTGGGTGTAGACTATCTCCCACTTATCCCGTGGGTGCAGCTGGCCTTTGATGTCAAACATCTTCTCCAGTTCATCTATAAGCTTAGTGTACCCATTGATCATGGTTAAATCCACAGCCCGACCAACTGCTACTCCTTGCATCTGAAC